TGGCTCTAGACCCACTTGCTGTCTGGTTGTAGACCGACTCGCTATCTGGCTGTCGGCTCACTCGCTGTCTGGATGTCAATTTTATGATGAAAGCAGGGTGACTGCAGCGAAGCGAATATCTTATTATCATCAATGACATTTTTTTTCTTCTCTCCATTATATCCACAACTACTGCTACTATGATTATTATTGTTCGTTTCATACCTTTTGCTTTTCCTTTATTTTTGACTGTTATTCCCTTACCCCCCCCCCCTTTTGTGTGTGTGTGGGGGGGGGGACTAGAAGTCAGGATGCTCTGCCCCTTGTTGCTGTTGTGTTTTTAGTCGTCGAAAAAGGCTCCGGCGGGGACGTCTGATTTATCTTGTGAGGGTTCGCTTGTTCTCCTTATCTCTTTGCTTAGACTTCTTAGTCACAGTTTTTTTGATACATTTATATCAGTGGGGGTGGGGTGTGGGAGAGGGGGGGGTATTTGTGTCTGTTTCCTTCCTTATTGTCTGAAAGATGGAATGCCTTCTCTCGTGCCTCCTGGCATGTTTTCTTGTCTAGCTAGCGGTTTTCAAGCTAAGTGGCGTGCCTTCCAATGGTGCGCAAGTAAATGTCAAAGAGACTGTCATGCAGTTTTGAAATTGACTGTCATTTGTACACAATAATACGTAATAATGTACGTAATAATGTGTCGTATATTTGTCTTCCACATCGATCTAGCTTTGAATGAGTACCAGGAGGAGTCCTGGGAAGTAAAGTCGGCTGACATTATACTTACGACATCACTCACCAAGTGCCGATTGGTCTAAAAAATATAGGGCTAGCCCTATATTCCCAGTACGACTTAAGGCGTTAAAAAAAGGTCCTTTACTTCACATATGTATGTACACACACACACACATATATATATATATATAAAGCTGTCTAGTTTGTCTCTACACTCCCTGTATGTGCCATCTCTTCATGTGTGTTTCTGCCAGTGAGAAGATTTGTTGCTGTTTTTCTGAGATGAACGTCTGTTTTCCAATGATGCAAGGAAATGGCCTACAGTCTCACAGCATCGATATTCATGGTGTCAAGTAGACGCTGATGTTGTTTATAGACGAACGATTCTAGAATTTGGATGGTAACTCTAATCACGTCATCGGGTATCGATTCGCATAGATCTAGAGTAATTTTATGTCCGGTGGAGATTACCAGCAATGTTGGCTTCGAAGACCAAAATAAGTGCTTACATAACATTTCCATTTAATAAAGTACACACAGACAGAAAATGCGACAGCTATGGCGTCGATCTCTGTTTTGTCTGTCTGCATGTCTGCCTGTTTATCTGTTGGTCTTTATTCTTGTCTGTTGCCTGTCTGTTTGCCCGCCTGCCTCCCTCACATTCTGCCAGTAGCTGCCTGTTAGTTTGTTTGCAGTTTGTTAGTTTGACAGTCAGTCTGTCTTATTTGTGTGTGTGTGTGTGTGTGTCTTCATGACGTGTCTAATTGCCTACCTGTATGTGTACCTGTCTGCCTCTCTCATCACCATGATTTGCCCTGCCAACTGGCATAGGCGCTCATGCATCTCCCCAGATCACGATCCCTTTTTGCCTTGAACAGCTCTCTTGATGATTATTCCCCCCCCCCCCCATCATGCCATCGTTTTAGCCCATCCAGTATCATCTCTGTTGATCTGCCTCTGCCCCTTTTCCACTGATCTTTCCAGTTGTCACAATGTTCTCCATTGTCTCTCTTCTCATTACGTGGCCAAAGAACAGTGTTTCTCTCTTTCTTATTGTTGCATATGGAAATCTACTTTCATTAGCTTCTTTTAAACAATCGTTATCCAAGGTATTCGTAACACTCGTTTCAGAAACCACATCTCTGTTGCTACTAAACCAAGTTGCCATTTTAACACTTTAGTTTTCATAACTTTTTAAAAATTGCCATCAGTAACCTGATGACGATCTGGTGTCACCTGTGACTGGTGTCTGTCTCTACCGGACGAGGCTGACTTTAGACTTCCATTAACGACGTTCGTGTGATTCAGCCTGTGTTTCTTCATGAGATATCTTGGGAATAAATGTGGTGGTTTCCTGTTGACTTCCACATCCACATGGGGTATTTTAACCTGCACCTTTGACAGTAAGTTCCGACGGTCAGGACTGCCTCTCTGCTTGTATGTATTTCTGCCTTGCCTATCCGTTGGCATGAGCAATTACCTGCTTGTCGATGTACTGTAGTTTATTGTCCATGATGTCTTCTACAACCCCCCCCCCCCCCTTTCCCCCTTTTCCAACCAAACAATCGGTAAGTCGATCTGTTTGTCTTCAGTATCTGTATATCGATCTCCTGGTCTGTCTGTCTTCGCTGTCTGTTAATCTCTATATCTTGTCTTCTGTGGGTCTGTTCGTGTGCCTTAACTGTCTGTTTTTCCCTTACCAGTTATATGCGTATCAGTATTGTTCTGTTTCTCTGCGTCCTGTTTGTTCTCAAATGAGCTTGCATGATAAAATTCATTCACTTCTACTAATTCTGGTACAGTCTAATTTGTGAATCAATTAAGTGAGGTCTTTCTAACCATTCTTGATAAGCTTTATCCGGGTCAGTGATCTGGGTTCCACACTTACTGAAGGTAAAACTGTCCCCGATCGCAAAAGTTCGGGTGTCGACGCGCATGAATTAATTACATCCTGGATACATTGACGAAATTTGTGAATATTTGTCGAATAAATGTTTCCACGAAGACAACTGCCAAGCCACATACGTATCTGACGTAGCAGGCATTTTTATTAGGACCTTCTCTTTCCTCGCCATTAGGCGTATAGGGCACATAGGGCTAGATCTATATTTTTATAGACCAATCGGCACAGATGGGTGATGTCAGCATCACGCCGGCCGCCTTTACTTCCCGGGACTGCACCCGGTACCCACTCAAGGCTGGGTCGACCTGGAAGCCAAGGTCATTTTTGAAAAAAGTCTGACTCCTCCAGGGAGCGAGCCCACGACCTTCCTATCTGCGGCGAACGTCTAGCCGCTCGGCCACGGCGACTCTCATTTTTATTATTTTTATTATAATTTTTTTTCAAAACGTCTTTCACGCCTAGTGTCCACTTCAGTGCTGGTCGAACCCTGCCACTTCTTCCAAGAACCATACCTTCCATTAATGATCTGTCCAAACCAAGGTGACGTTTAATGTCTACTGAAGCACACTAAAAAGCACCACTATAATATATACTGTTGCCGAAAGGTTGGGAGGAAAAGTGTGGGAATAGATTTTTTTCGCGTTTGTCATGCGGTAGGGAGCCAGTGGCTGCTGGAATCAAAAGTGTGTGAATCAAGCCACGAGTCTTGGTACAGAGTATATGAGAACAATCAAAGTTACACGTGCAGCACGCTTCCCAGCAGTTATGACCCTGACAATCTGTAGGCCTTGTTACAGTATAGTCGGTAGAAAAAAAAGGCCGTTAGGAAACAACACCCTTATCATCGTTTCCCCTTGTAGAATGCAATTTTGCATTATTTTGAAGCCCCCACCCTGGCTTTTGTTAGGGAGCGCAATATAACCCGACCATAAATATGGCCCAATGACTGAACGCGGTTTCCAGAGTCTACAGGCTACAGGCAAGGACCTGCAGCTAATCCGCAACAACTAGAAGCTGCTGCTATTTGTGAATTGGACTTAATTTCCTAGAATTGTCTTCAGAGATCTGTGCCTTTCATGTGCGTCCGTTGCCAAGCTGTTTGCAAGTGCGCGGTGGACACATCAGATACTGCGCATAGTAGGCATGCTTTTTTTTAATTGGCTGCTTTTTTTTTTTTTACCTGCAGTGAATCGAGTACACATTAATTACCATCCTGCATACATGTGAAGGACAATGAATAAAGATTCAGACAGATAAACTAGTAAACACTTATATTTATATTTGGCACTCTGTTCTTGAATTATACAGGTGGTGCTCGATTGAAATGGCCAAAGTATTTAAGCCTTCAAAAAAAAGCGACACTGTTATGCCAGTTCTTGCCCACAGCGGGTTAAACTTGGCTAGTGTGGCCATTACGTGTGCCTGAGCTATAACTTCTTAAGAGGTGGAACTGGGTGTCTGGGATCTGCTTTGTTGGTTTGCCAGAATGAGATGTTTAAATCTCATGATGGTATGGTAAACATCTGCTTAGTCGCCTGCAGGGACAGACCGATCGATCGATCAACACTGTTTATGACTCTTCGATGCTGAGATACTAAAGAATGCCAGTAGGTTCCCCACAACCCCCCCCCCCCCCCTCCCCCCCACCCCACTTTTTTTTTCTTGATAACTTATGCTCTACTAATCTTCATTTTCTGCCTTGTGTCTCCCAATCGAACATAGACTATCGACCAACTTTACGCCAAGTTGTTCTATCCTTTCCTATTGCTTGCAGCTGTCCCATGTCCTCCCCATCCTTTTAAGTTCACCCTCTTGCTCTGCTAGTTTCCCGTACCCCTGTGTGTTCCAGCGGCGTCTGTGGCTTAGGAGTTGTCAACAAGCTTTGTAATTCCGGCGTACTGGGTTCGACGAAAATGTGCCTACAAAAACCACAGCAACCAAAAAACGCTGGGGTTGTTTCTGCAGTGTCCTGTAAAGGATACGCAACTAGCTTAACTGTGTGTTCCAGTGCAAAGACATTCTCGTTATATTCTTCTCAGGTTTTCTTAATGTGTGTCCAACCCAACGCCGTCGTTCTTTCTTCACCTTTTGATTAACTGGAACCTGTTTAGTTTTCTCCCAAAGCTCAGCATTAGTGATTCTATCTTAACATTTAATTCCATCTGTTCTAGGAATTTTTTTAATGAAATTAAAGATCAAAGCCTGGATTTTCTTTTTTATTGATGGCGAGGAACATCTAGCCAGTGTACATTTCTAAATTATTGCGTAACGTCCGGTCTGGGAAGTACGAAGACAATAATGACTATGTGGGGAAATTGACCACGGTCTGCTGGGTTCGTGGGAGTTCATGTGTGCCTGGGGAGATCGTAAGCTGGTGCCGCGAGCTATGCCTGAGCCCAACAATAAACTCAGTCATCTTCATCTCCCGGGACGGATACAACAGGCCAAAAACAGGAACAGTGGAGTTGCTGCCCTGTCAGATGCAGGAGACACCATTCCACCACCGCCCATGTAAGTTGTGTCTGTTTTGTGACCTGATAAGGAAATACATTTAAAAAGTCACTTTGTCATCTGTCAACTAATACTCGTAAATTAAACATTGCCTATTTTCAGTATTTATAATTTCTTTGTCTGTTTATTCGGTTTCTCCTCCTCCTTCGCCAATTCCTCCACTACCTCCTCCTCCTTCGCCAATTCCTCCACTACCTCCTCCTCCTTCGCCAATTCCTCCACTACCTCCTCCTCCTTCGCCAATTCCTCCACTACCTCCTCCTCCTTCGCCAATTCCTCCACTACCTCCTCCTCCTTCGCCAATTCCTCCACTACCTCCTCCTCCTTCGCCAATTCCTCCACTACCTCCTCCTCCTTCGCCAATTCCTCCACTACCTCCTCCTCCTTCGCCAATTCCTCCACTACCTCCTCCTCCTTCGCCAATTCCTCCACTACCTCCTCCTCCTCTTTTCTTCTTGGCGTTCACCGACTGTAAACTCCAGCGGAAAGTTCTGGTTGTTCGTCCACTTCTGGACTTTAGGCTTGTTCCAAAATTTTGAGTTTTGCCTAAACATCCGTTTTACAGATCTGGCTGACTTTCAAACCTTTAATTAGTCGATTCTTACGACCTGATTGCTAAGGAGACAGTCTTCCTTCCCCTCACCCTCCCCAATAGCATAACCCACACGGTTAGTATTTTCGTTTGATGGTCAGCTACCCCCCCCCCCTCTCCCCCCAGAACAAATTATGGGATTGATGATAACATTTACAAAGAAAATAAATTGAAATCGTCTGGTTTAGAATGCAATCCTTGATGCGACTCTAATACTGTATTTATAAATGCTAGTTCTTCGTCATCATCCTTTGTATGCCTTGGACATCAAACACGGCTCGCATTCGATTCCTCCGCTCTGCTCTATCGCATGCAACTTTCTCGATTTCTGACATGGAGTTCAGCCCAGTATTTTTTGCCTCCTGTAATAATGTTTTTCCTAATGTTACCCTTGGACGTCATCTTTTTCTCAGTAAGTTCTTGATTATAACTATTAAAAACATATGAGGACCATGATACGCCAAAAATCCCTGGGATCCGCAGGTTGTAAAGCTAACGAAACCACTGGCTTTTACTGGGTGCTTGTAAAGTCTCATTACACTTTGAAACGCAGAACACATTTGAAATGCAAAGTACACTACGTCATCCAAAAATATGTTCATCGGTCAATCCTGAAGCAGTATGCATAAATGGCTATCGTCTACTAGAGTATTTATTCGCACTCAAAACAGAATGGTGTTATCAACCGTAGAATTTGTTTTTAACAAGTGTTTCGAAATGGCGGCGGATACACACAGATGGTTGTTCAAAGATGTATAGCAAGATTTACAGACAAAGCTTATTGTCGTATTACGGCTAAAAATTTATTGAATCAGTTTCTGGCTGCGGGAAAAATTGACAAAGTTTTCTGATCTAGAGGCATACTGTGTCTGGAGAAAAATATATAGACACCCAAAAGAGACTCCTGAAAAGTCCAAGCGTCCTTAGGAAAACTGACAGTCATGTGGCCTATTTGCATGCAGACTGTTAGTTCCTCGCCTCTCAGGCAGATGCAGTTCAACTTTGAAGGAACACCCCAGCTGAGTCATCTCCTAAAATATACCTGTTAGGGAAGCTATGGGAATATCTCCCCCACCCCCCCCCTTTCCTTTACAGGTGACCGGAACAACTATAGAGAATATTTTTGTCTGTGCTTTTCTACATTTCTACATTCATTTCACCTCGATCCCCTTGTGCCTCGCCTTGTCCAGATGTAGTATGAACTACGAGGACAGTTTTCATTTGTGTGCTTCATATATACAGATTTTTGTAGCTCTGGAATCATCTCTGTCCAACGACTTTATGGTCAGCCGTTCTTTTGACTTACTAAGTAACGGTTAGGTGAAATTAGATGTGTTGGGCCCAAATATGTAGATATCGCTGCCTCCATGCAGACTAACACAGTGTGCCAGCTACCTTTTACTAGCGACGGAAGAAGCAAAAGAGGAAGAAAAAGTAGAAGAAGAAGAAGAAGAAGAAGAAGAAGAAGAAGAAGCAAAAGAGGAAGAAGTAGTAGTAGTAGTAGTAGTAGTAGTAGTAGTAGTAGTAGTAGTAGTAGTAGTAGTAGTAGTAGTAGTAGTAGTAGTAGTAGTAGTAGTAGTAGTAGTAGTAGTAGTAGTAGTAGTAGTAGTAGTAGTAGTAGTAGTAGTAGTAGTAGTAGTAGTAGTAGTAGTAGTAGTAGTAGTAGTAGTAGTAGTAGTAGTAGTAGTAGTAGTAGTAGTAGTAGTAGTAGTAGTAGTAGTAGTAGTAGTAGTAGTAGTAGTAGTAGTAGTAGTAGTAGTAGTAGTAGTAGTAGTAGTAGTAG